ACAGCTCCCTCCTGCTCGACAAAGTGAATGTGTGCACCACCAGCAAGCCTGACCGATGCCAATGCCTTTGGATTTCAGCCCCATCGACCCCCACGCTGTCTCTTATACACATCTAGATGTGTATAAGAGACAGGGGGTGGGGGATAGGTGGTGGGTGCACGGGAGTTGGCGGGGGCCAGGTGGGTGGCTGGCGGCTTGGTGGAGAGGGTGGGGGTTTGTGGAGAGGGGAAGGCAGGTGTTGGTGTTGGTGGGGTTGGCACAGCTGGGGGGGTGTTGAAGCTGAGGGTGTTGGGTGGGGTGAGAGGGCAGGGGGGGAAGGGGAGGTTGGTTGGTTGGTCGGTTGGTTCAGATGGGTCCTGGGCAGACTGTCCAAGTCCCCGACCTCCTGATGAGTCACTGAAGTCTGACAGAACAGTGTGTCTAGGTCGCCGTTTAGCCTTACTGCCTCAGCTGCTGCCTTTGTGTGTTTCTTGTCATGTTCGCTACACACCATTCCACAGAAAAAAGCACGTCTGTGCTAGATGTTTTTGTCTGACTTTCACCAACTCATCAGAAGGTTCGAGTGGCATGCTCCAGTGGCATAGTGAGCTCCATTGTGATCTTGCCAAAGAATAGCATGCTAGAGTGACATACTTTGACACACAATGATGCTGGCTGAAATTGATTGACACCGAGCACAACTTCATGACATTCGCACCTATTGACCGTTCGATGAATGGTATTATGGTACACATGTAATGCAAAGATGGAAAAGAAGGTCAATGAGTGGCATGCGATGAACTTGCAGTGTTTGGAAAAGGAGTAAGAAGAAGACGACGAAGAAGAAGAAGAAGACGATGATGAAGACGACGACGACAAAGAAGAAGAAGAAGAAGAAGAAGAAGAAGAAGAAGAAGAAGAAGACGAGGACGAAGAAGAAGAAGAAGAAGAAGAAGAAGAAGAAGAAGAAGAAGAAGAAGAAGAAGAAGAAGAAGACGATGACGACGACGACGACGACAACGAAGAAGAAGAAGAAGAAGAAGAAGAAGAAGAAGAAGAAGAAGAGGAAGAATAAGAAGAGGAGGGAAGAAGAAGAAGAAGAGGAGGAGGAGGAGGAGGAGGAAGAGGAGGAGGAGGAGGAGGAGGAGGAAGAAGAAGAAGAAGAAGAAGAAGAAGAAGAAGAAGAAGAAGAAGAAGAAGAATGATAACTGTTACTGTTTGTATGCTGCAGCAGTGCTCTGATGTACTAGAACATGTTTGCATTACACCAAGATCCAACTTTACATATCTGCTCGATTCCAACCTTTTCTGGCAGGAGGGTTTCCCTGCAGTGAAGAAGGAAAAGAAGGATAAGAAGAAAGAAAGGAGGGGAAGAAAGCACTGCATGCGCTTGAGAGAGAGAGAGAGAGAGAGAGAGAGAGAGAGAGAGAGAGAGAGAGAGAGAGAGAGAGAGAGAGAGAGAGAGAGAGAGAGAGAGAGACATACACAGTCAAGCACAGAGAGAAGCTCATCCGTCTCGTGGGATGTTATTCTCGTAGGGAGCAAACCAGTGTGGCATGAACCCTGCATACTCCTTGCCTTGCACGTTCAGCAAACGTAGCCGAACGGCCTCCTCGAAATCCTGTGGCAACCTCTGCCTCTCCCTGTAGCCACGCATGGGCGCCAATTGAGAATATCCACTCTCTCTTCTGCCGAGGTGTGTGGTTGTCCTCGTCTACAAGAAGCTCGAAGAAAACATCCACAGCTCCCTCCTGCTCGACAAAGTGAATGTGTGCACCACCAGCAAGCCTGACCGATGCCAATGCCTTTGGATTTCAGCCCCATCGACCCCCACGAGAGGCTATACCCCCCCCCCCCCCCCCCCCCCCCCCCCCCCCCCCCCCCCCCCCCCCCCCCCCCCCCCCCCCCGGCCTCCGCCTGTCACACCACTGCAACTCCCTCCGTTACGACCTGGTGTACCGCCTCCCACACCATCCCCCCCACATTCTCTCTCCCACCAACTCCCTCCAGCCTCCCCCTCCCCGGCACCTGGCCAGTTGGGGAATGACCCTGCCAACGCTCTGAATACCCGAGGGGAGGACAACGGCAACAACATCCTCACAGCCTTCTGACATCCTCACCCGAACGAATATGGGTTCTCCTCCGATAGACGGGTCGTGCGGGGAGCCACAGAACACTTGGGAAGGCGGATGACAACAGCAGTGGACAACCAACGACAACAGACACCTACTGCTGGTGTGAATGGACCATTCTGAGGTTGTATGGCACACACAGGAAACAGCACAGTGGGGTAGTATGCGATGGCAAAACAAGCACAGAAGTAGTTTAGCCTGGTGTCAACAACAGCTTCATATAGGACTGGTAGCAGGTGACTGTGGGGCTGGACTTTTAGGTGGGAGGGGGATTGCTCTTTACCCATGGGATCTCCATACACAGCCCCATCAGACATGCAGTACAGAGTACAGCGGACAACAAAGGCAACCGTGCAACTCGTTTTGCATGTACGAAGGGACGCCGGCCCAGTTTCCGGCAGGTGCTGCTCCCCACCAATAGATGTAGCCACCCTGAGAGTGCTAGTGGTGCCTGCACTTACCACCACCCCTAGCATTACCACAGGTTGCTTTCTGTATTAAAAAATATATATAATATATATATATAGAAATACAGAAAGAAGAAAAAAAAAGAAGAAGAAGAAGATTTAAATCAATGGTTTTTTTGCAACCAACAAAGTAAGAAAGTCATGGACTACGGCTCGAAATAAGGGGATTTTTTTGGTTTAAAAAAAAAAAAGGGCTCAAAATACTTTTTTTTTGGGGGGGGGGTTACTTCCACAAAACATATGCCCTATCTATCTATTCTGGAGAGCTCCAGTCCAGTTGCTCTTCACCGGTTAGCAAAATGTATGAAAGAATGATAGAAAAGACGGAAGTCTTCCCTACCTGCCACTAGGTACCGGTACCAGAGGGTTTGGTGGTGCACTCACCTGCCCTCACTCTGAGCCTCCCATAAGAAGTGCCCACGCTGGCCGGGGAACATCCCGACGGTACCCAAACACACAGCATCGGTGCTCCGTACGGGTCCCCACTCAAGGCAGGTGGCATGTTACGAGAAAAAAAACTTCCACCATTTTTCAAGCCTGGTGGCCCCGTGGGCCTTCACGGTGCCACCAGGTGCTGGAAAAAAACACTGCGCAGGCCTCTACCGGCCTCGCGCTTCAACAAAATAAGCAGCGATTTCAGGCCATTGATCGTATCTGCATGGGTGTTCACTGTGTTGTTGATTGTGTTGTTGATTGTGTAGTTGATTCGGTGGGTGGTTAGGCGGGCGGATGGT